TTCCCCGCCACATATTTATTTATTTATTTATTTATTTATTTATTTATTTATTTATTTATTTATTTATTTATTTATTTGATTTCTATCCCGCCTATCTGGTCTTATTTGACCACTCTAGGCAGCTAGTCCAGGTCTGTCCAGGTCTGTCCTCCTCCACCTCTTAATCTTGTCTTTTTAAGTTTTACTGGTCTTCATTGGAGCTATTTTTAAAGTTGTTAAAGTTGATATTAGTACAGTAGTAAAAACAGTGGAGTGAGGGTGTTATTCACGGGTTGCATCACATAGGTCTTAAAACTGAGCATAGAGAGCATCAGGAATAGTAAAGGTTCAGGCAGAAAGATATTCAGTTCCTTCCGGTGCAGCGCACGCCCCTCTTTGGCCCGACTCACCGCCGAGGGGGGGCATTTCACAGAAGAGGCGGGAATAGGGGGGGCACACCTTCCTTGCCAGTAGCAGGAGCCACTCCTTGCTTGAGAAAGGGCTGCGTTGAAGGTTCTTCTGCGTGGCTGGAAATTCCGATTCATGGTCAAGAGAAATGCTTCCCTTCTGTGCCTTTTCCACCTCGGCTGCTTCTTGTCTCCCACCCTCTGAACTAAACTACAAGGACAGCTGGAGTCCTTTCTGGCTTTTGGAGAGGCGTGTTGAGCTCCATGTAAATCCCACGTAGCTGTTTGAAGGAACGAGGCCCTGAGTGAGCTGAGGATATAGACCTACCTTGATCCTTCTTTGCCACGCTGCTGGTTCATGTGGAGTTTGCAGTACATGTGATGCACTGGTGCAGCAGTACCTTCGTGCTTTGCATTTAACAAGAAGGACTGCAGCTGTATTTTGCTCCATGTGGCTGCTAGGTCTCTGCCTGATTTTGAGCTACATCGGTTAGTTTTTGGCTTTTAGCCATCGTGCCCATTAAGGTGGCCACTGCTGGTGAAAAATGCCAGGTTTCCTCGTGAAGGCCAAGCGTGCCTGTCTCTCACAAATGCTGTTTTAGGGAGAGGTGCTCATGGGTTGGTGAGAGTGAAAGGGAGCCAAAGTTGAAGACTTAATTTGTTTTGTATGTCTTTCCCTTTGTCTGTAGAACAATATCAAAAGATCAGTTTGAGAAGAAGAAAAATGATACTCTAGATCCAGAACCGTAAGTGTGGTCTCATCACTTACCCGATGGGAGGGGGTTTGGTGACTGAGGCCATTATGGCTGCAAAGTCCAGCAGCCTCATTTGCCTTCGTTTGTTTCCCAGGGAGCTGGAGGGACGAGAAGACTAGCAGGGACCCTGCACTTTTGGCCTCATATATTTGAGCTTTCAGTTGCTGCACATATATAATAAAGATCCAAATATAAAGCACTGTGGGGAGTGTAGGACAAAATAAGAATGAACATTCAGTGCAGGGAAAGTGTGTGTTATTAATGGCCAATAAAAGTGTCAAGAAAGTGTGGCTTATTGACTGTGAAGATATTTGGTGTGTCTAACACATGGTTACTAGGTGCAAATTTTGTGTCCAGTAGATCTTCCGTGTCTCCTATGGCTCCTTAGTTTAAATTACATACCTTTGAAAGATCTGATTTTAATAGAACTGTAAGAAAGATTGCAAAATATCAGCCATTTTAAATTTAATCTGCTGCAGAAAACTCCTTTTTGTGGCTCACTAAGGCTTGTCATTTTGCCTTGTTTCCTTGCACAGTTTTGTCGACTGCAAAGAATGTGGCCGGAAGATGCATCAGATATGTGTGTTACATTACGATATCATTTGGCCTTCAGGGTAAGTGGCTTTGGTAGGTCTGGGTCAGCCAAGGAACACTTTTAGAGCCTGTTACATGCAGGGGATTTGTGACGAAAGTGGTTGGCGAGCTCCTGTGAAGGCGCTTGGCTGCTCTCCGAAGCGGAGCATGTTGGGTGCTTTCCACCTGCTTTCCCTGAAGACCTTCTCTCTAGTAAAGCGTCTGTGGGCAGCCCAGACAAGAGCCTTTCCTGCTTAGGGGAAGGTCCCTCTTCCTTCTCCTTCCAGGCTGCCCTGTAGGGTGTGGGGAATCTCTCCTGCTTGGCTCTGTCTGATTTCTCCAGGCAGCCCCAGCAGAGACTGAAGGCCGGGGTGCAAACAAGGTCCCCTCTTGGTAGGAGTTCCTCTTCCTGCGTGGAGACCTGTCCTGGCAGGGCTGGTTGCCGCCAGACTCTGTGCCATTTCTGTGCTCTGGACACAGACCAGGAACTCTGTGGGTGTATTTGATTTAGGCTACTTGTTCATAATTTCTGTTGTTTAAGTTATAAGTTACAAGAATTGCTCCAGGCAGTTGAACCCAAAATATGTAAACCTGGTATAGAAATGAGGCTCACAGAAAGTAGAGCTGTAATGAAAGCAACCATTAAAAGTAGATGTAGAGAAAAGCACAACTTGGTTAAAAGAGTCGTTTGTTGGACATTCCCCAGAAAAATAAAATCCAGCACTTCCAACAATTGGAGGCCTTCCTCTGTCACCAAAGGCAGGAGAGGGTGGGGCCCGGGGGGGGGGTCAACAGCAGTGGCTTCTGGGTCTGGTTCTCATGGTTGCAGTTGCTTTCCCTTGCCTTTGCCTCCCTTTTGCCCAGGGTAATGGCACTTCTCCTCTGGCATCAGGCCCAGCTGTTGGGATCTGCACGTCCAGGTCCAGTTCACAGGTCGCTTTACCACATTTTGTGCTGCCCAGATTAGAGATCATGTCAGGTCTTTGGAACTCAGTCTGTCAACCAGGAGACGCTAACCTGGCCATATGTCTTGCCCAGACAATGCCACCCAACCCTGTGGAAGCCATTTTGGGCTAGTGCTTGAACTTACCTGCCTTGTGTAGCTCAAGGCATTAGTACAGACTATGTGTGTTGGCGTGGAAGAAAAAGCCATGCTGTCTCACACATTTGCTTCTAGCAACGCGCTGGTGGGAAAGGTCTTCCTGCTTGGTGGCAGGGGATGGGACGCAAGTGAGCCTCAGGGTCCCTTCCGGCTCTGTGACCCCTGTGACCCTGCTTTGGGGGCGAGGGCTATCTTTGACAAAGGTGCATTAGCTCTTGTCCTGTTCTGGGAAAGCAGGGGTTTTGAGACACGCCCGTAGCTTCTTGTTCTTTTATTGTGTTTTCAGCTTTGTGTGTGACAACTGCTTGAAGAAAACTGGCCGGACACGCAAGGAAAACAAATTCAGTGCCAAAAGTAAGTTTCTGGCCTCCTTTGCTGCTTGGCAACCCTGTGCTCTTACTGTAGGTTTTCCATGCATCTCTTGGGCTTCTTCCCAAGAGCCCCATTTCAGAATAATTTAGGGAGTGGACAAGAATTCCTCTTTGGAGGATGATGCTGTGATCCTTAGTGTTTACCTTGGTACTTGGATTGTGGTCTTAAGGCAAAACAGTCTTCTTTTAAAGAAATTGTTGTTGTTTAGTAGTTAAGTCGTGTCCGACTCTTCATGACCCTATGGACCAGAGCACGCCAGGCCCTCCTGTCTTCCACTGCCTCCCGGAGTTCGGTCAGATTCATGTTGGTCACTTCGGTGGCCCTGTCCAACCATCTCATCCTCTGTCTTCCCCTTCTCCTCTTGCCCCCACACTTTCCAAACATCAGAGTCTTTTCCAGGGAGTCTTCTCTTCTCATGAGATGGCCAAAGGCTTGTAGCCTCAACTTCAGGATCTGTCCTTCCAGTGAGCACTCAGGCTTGGTTCCCTTCAGAATGGATAGGTTTGTTCTCCTTGCGGTCCGGGGGACTCTCAAGAGTCTTCTCCAGCACCACAATTCAAAAGCAATAGAAATAGTTTAAAGAAATAGTTTGAGCCAATTCTGTCAACCGACTGCATGAGTAAACAAAGTGCCTGACTTATGCTGGTGCAAGACTATAAAATGAAGTCTCGTTGTGTAGCGCTCTGCCTGGATGGTGGTCTTACGTCACTGAGTCATCAGTTCCACTGGACCAGGCGGAGTTTGCCGTTTCCCATTGCCCTGCCCTGTGGTCCAGGCGGCTTTCCCTGAACCTGACTGACAGTGGTCTTCATGATGTTGAGGAACTGCTGATCCCATTATCTCGCATCATTAGACATGCTGATCAGGGCTGATGGGAGTTGATGTCCAGTCCTGTGCTGCCTGAAGGGCCACAGTTGCCCACGTCTTACCACGGCTGTGGCAGAAGGCAGATTCTGGGCCATCTTGAAGGCAGGCTCTCGGGAGGGGGAAGGCCCAGGGGCTTCAGGACAGATGAAAGAAGCTCTTTCTTGCATCTCCATCATCAGATTTTTTCCCCTTACTCAAGTGTAAATTGCCAGTAAGATTCTGCATGCTCTGTGAAGAAGACAGTGGCAGAGAACAGGAGCTGCAGGGTGGGTTTTTTTTTTTTTTTTTTTTTGGTTTTTCTGGTTTTTTTGTTGCTGTTTTTTGGGTTGCTGCTCTCTCGCTCTCCTTAAAATACAGTTCACTGGGTTTTTTCAACTACTTTTTGTAGAAGCTTCAGTTATAAAATCACTCGAGTGTTTATGATGTGTCAAATTGTCCCTCTTTGAAAAGAAGCTTGAGAGGGAAAGAGGGTGGTTGGCGGAGTCCCTGCTTTCAGGGCGGCTTCTGGTGCCAGTGTCTTCGTTATATGGGCATGAAGCATTTCTGCTCCTAACTGAGATTCTGGAAGATTCCTAGCTTGCTCCTTCATTTGGGTTTTCCATGTTCTTCCTTCCCTCTGAGCGTTGAAAGGTGGGGTGGGGGCGAGGCTGGTTCCTCCACCTCCCTTTCGGCACTCCCCCTTAGTGGCAGGCCGGGTGACTAGTTCGTGCTCCCCTTGTGCGCTTCAGAGTGGTGTGAAGATTTGGAACCAGGTGTGCCCCCCGCCCCCATCTTCGATGGCTGCTCCCATCCTCTCGCTGGGGCCAACTGACAGGAGCCTCGGAGGCCACCCTGCCTGGGGCACCTTTGCATTCTTTGGGGGAGGGGGAGTCTCTCTCTGTCTTGTCGCCTTGGGATGCCAACCGAGCCTGGCCCTGGCAGCTTCCCCTTTAGAGGCAAGGCTCTCTGGTTTTCTGGGGCCTTCCTATTCCCCTGCCCTCCTCACCCCGCAGGTCTATCTTGTTTTCATTTCTGTGTCTCCGAAACTTGTGGGGGAAAAAACACCAGGCTTTAAATGGGTTCTGGGTGCTGCCACTTTGTTCCCTTAAGTCTTCCATAACTCACACCTTGCATTCTGTCTCTTAGGGTTACAGACCACTCGCTTAGGAAACCACTTGGAAGAAAGAGTAAATAAATTTTTGCGGCGGCAGAATCACCCAGAAGCTGGAGAAGTCTTTGTGAGAGTAGTGGCCAGTTCAGACAAAACGGTAGAAGTGAAACCAGGAATGAAATCAAGGTGAGTTTTTAAGCCTGTTCCCAGAATCTGCTCCACGGCTAATGAGTTGCTTGGAGGTGATTCTTTAATTCTTTCAGGTGCCTTCTGGCCCTTTTCCATCCTTTTCTCAGCGGGCTGCAGGACAGGCAGATTGCATGCCGAGAGCTCCATGAGAATAGCACGAGGTTCTCTTGCACCTGATCTCCAGAGTGGCTGTGGGGCATTTTCTGAGCCCAGCAGGGTCATGGCCACCCTCTTTCCCGCAGGTTCGTTGACTCCCGAGAGATGGCCGAGGCTTTTCCCTACCGCACCAAGGCCCTCTTTGCTTTTGAGGAGATCGACGGGGTGGACGTGTGTTTCTTTGGCATGCACGTCCAGGAGTACGGATGGGATTGTCCACCACCAAACACCAGGTACTCTTGCCAGCTCCCCTGTGAGGGGCTCCAGGAAGGAGAGACAAAGGGGGGGGGGATGACTTGCAAGGGCTTCTTTCCTGTGGCTGTTGTGGTCCACCAAGGCACTGCCCATTTCCAGCAGCCCTATGGATCTGTAGCCTCCAGCTGGCCCTGTCATTTGCAGGTTCTTACTTTCTCATTAGTCCTCTCAGCCCATGCCCACAGACCCCTTCCTGCTTTGTATCCGTCTGATCCCGTCCTTTGACTGTTTTCCTAGAAAAGAGAGGAGTTGTGAGGGGCATACAGTTCTGCTCTGCAGACCGGGGGGAAATGTGGCCTGCTACTGGGGAGGGTTTGAACGCTGTTTGGGCATAATCCTCCTTGCTGGAAGGTGTAGTGGTGGCCAACAGCCTGGAGTGCCTACCCAGAGGATTGGGCCAGTTGGCAGGAGGTGGTCTTGTGTGGCCTCCAGCCCCTTTGGCAGGATGGCTCCTCCCTGGCCGGCCTCTCTCATAAAGCCTGCTCCTTAAGAAGGCTGCTGTTGTGTCCCTGACTCGTTGGTGAGCTTCCTCGCGTCAGGTAGCTCTTTGGCCACGAAAGAGGCCTCTGGCCTGATCCTGCTGTAGAGTTCTTCTGTTCTGCTTGGATTATATTCCACATCCATGCCTGAGCAGGAAAAAAGCTCTTCTCTCTGATCAGCCGCTGAGGGGGAAGGAAGAACTCTTTCCTTCCAGGGGTTCGGTGGGGGTGTATGTGCTTGGTGAGGAGACAGGAGAAGGCCGCCTCTGTGGTTGCTCCCAGACTCTGGAACTCCCTCCCACTGGAGGCCATGCTGGCCCCGTCTTGGCTGTCCTCCTGCAAGCAGGCAAAGACTTTTCTCTTCAGGCAAGCTTTCCTTCAGTCTGAGAGAAGGTTCTTAAAATGGAACTGTTGTTTCCATTTTTTAAAATATGTATTTAGTACTGTATTTAACTGCTAGTTTTTTGTAATAATTTTTGTTTAATTCTTTTTGTGGTATTAAGGGACGTGGTGGCGCTGCGGGCTAAACCGCAGAAGCCTGTGCTGCAGGGTCAGAAGACCAGCAGTCGTAAGATCAAATCCACGTGACGGAGTGAGCGCCCGTTGCTTGTCCCAGCTCCCGCCAACCTAGCGGTTTGAATGCATGCAAATGCAAGTAGATAAATAGGAACCACCTCGGTGGGAAGGTAACAGCCTTCCGTGTCTAAGTCGCACTGGCCATGTGACCACGGAAGATTGTCTTCGGACAAAAATGCTGGCTCTAGGACTTGGAAACGGGGATGAGCACTGCCCCCTAGAGTCGAACACGACTGGACAAAAAATTGTCAAGGGGAACCTTTAACTTTACCTTTACGTTTAACTGATAGTTTTTTGCAATAATTTTTTTAATTCTTTTTGTGGTATTGTAATAATTTACTGTTTTTAGCTTTTAGTATGGTTTATTTTTTAACACTGTAAGATGCCTTGGATCCTTCCTAGAAGAAAGGTGGAACATAAACATTTGAAATAAATAATAATAATAAACAGAGAAGAAGCTGGCAGGTCAGACCATGGAGACCCGCAGTCTGTAGGTTCCCTATGACCTTCTCCTCGCCAGAGAGGCCCCTGTGCTGCCCAGCTGCAGCTCTTCCACTTTGTCAAGACTTGCTTTCTCTTCTGTCACAGGCGTGTGTACATCTCCTACTTAGATAGTATTCATTTCTTCCGCCCGAGATGCCTCCGGACAGCTGTTTACCATGAAATCCTTATTGGGTACTTGGAATATGTTAAAAAACTGGGGTGAGTGTCTTTGGGGGCCGTCTGTGCAGCTGAACTCCCTGGTGGCTCAACCTCATTGTGTGGCACAACTTCCTCATCCATGGAGAGGGTGGTTTGGTTGCCCAAGGCTGGAGTGCAAGAAATCAAGGGCCAGCCTGGCTCGTTGCATCCCAAGGGCCTTTTAAATGTTCAGGCCCACATCCGGCCCACAGGGGGACAACAGCCCTTTCTCCCTCTCCCTCTCCCTCTCCCTCCAGACCCCCCCCCGGGCCCCACTCAGTGAGTGTCTGCGCTAGTCTGGTCCTTTGTTTCCGGCAGGAAAGATGAGCGGTCCTGCTGAGCTGAGGCCCACCTCCTCTGCGTGCTCTGTCTCCCTCTCCTCCTGTTCTGTCCCTCAGGACCCAACAGGCAGGGGACGAGTCCCAGGAGGGAGGGAGGATGTTCTGCAGGCAGGCAGGCAGGCAGGCAGATGGGCCTGGTCAGAGGTGGGGCCACCAAGCTCTCCTTTGGACAGACGAACTTCCCCCTGGGTCGGACTCCAGCAGGCACCTTGGCTGGCCAGCCTGCCGCTGATTCTGCTCTCCTTCGGCCTTTTCCTCCTGGCACCTACCTGATGGATGGGCAAGAGCGAGAGAAGAAAAGGGGAAGGTGGGCTATAAGGCCTCCCAAGTCTGAGGGGAGCACCTGCCTGGGTCGCTGGCTCTTTAGTCGGATCTGTAGCCTTGTGGTAGCAGCAGCAGGACCGGCACCTCTTGGTGTGAAGAGGAAGCCGGCCTTCCCTCTTAGAAAAGCAGGAGAGGCTCAACCCGGCCCTTTATGGGAGGGGACCCCTAGCAGAGAGCCAGCCAGGCAGTGGGATCGGGGGGAGCCCAGAGCTTTAGCCCCCCCCCCCTTCAAGCTGCTTGTGTCTCTCCTTCCCATCTTCCAGTTAAGGTTCCAGGCCTTGCGGCCAGGGCTGACCTGCCTTTATTTTGGCTGTACAGCCTGAGGTGTTTCTCCATAGCCAATGACAGCCCAGAGGAGTGTAGTGATGTTGTGGCCGGCCGGCAGGCAGGCAGGCAGGCAGGGGAGCTGCCGCCTCTCTCCAGCCAGAGCCTCCGCTGGAGGAGAGTTGGTCCACTCAGGCACTGCTGCTTCCGTGGCTCCTGCAGGTATGTGACTGGCCACATTTGGGCCTGCCCACCCAGCGAGGGGGACGACTACATCTTCCACTGCCACCCTCCGGACCAGAAGATCCCCAAGCCCAAGCGCCTGCAGGAGTGGTACAAGAAGATGCTCGACAAGGCCTTTGCAGAGCGGATCATCCACGACTACAAGGTGAGACAGGCTTCCTCTGAGAGGAGCAGAGGCCATCAGTAGTTGGGCTGCCATCACCCAGACCGCCTGGAAGGAGGAGGCGGTAGCTGGAGCCCCGGACACGGAAGGCCAGCCTGTTTCTGTCGCTGCCGCCCCTCCCGCCCCCACCCCACCCGCGGGGGGCAGGGTTGGAGGACCACAAGCAGCCCCTGCTTTCGTGCTGCTAAGGCCAATTTGGGGAATGTGTTTCCTTGGCAGGACATCTTCAAACAAGCCACGGAGGATCGTCTGACGAGTGCCAAGGAGCTCCCGTACTTTGAGGGTGACTTCTGGCCCAACGTGCTGGAGGAGAGCATCAAGGAGCTGGAGCAGGAGGAGGAAGAAAGGAAGAAGGAGGAGAGCTCGGCCACCAGCGAAGCCCCAGAGGTGACTCTCGGAGAGCAAGCGGCTGTCCTGGGGGTGGGCAGAGGAGCCGGTGCTCCTCTGCATCATGTCTGCCCTCGGCCAGCTGGAAGCGGGTGTGGGCGGAGAGACTTGAGAGTGTGTGTGGGGGTGTGTGTGTGGCAACTGCCTCTTCCCGGCAGTTGGACAGCATCAGTCCCTTTTTCTTTGCACTGTGACACCAGAGGGGAAGGTCCCTTCCTTGTGCTCAGGCACCCTGTTCTCTTCCTCTAGGAGGCTGTGGCCAGCGAGGGGTTGGCTGCTCAGAGAGAGGGTGGGTGGCAGTCACAGCAGCTGGTCTCAGGCTGGAGGTGGCAGGTGGGCTGGCTTGGTGGTCGTCAGGCCTCTCAGGGAAGCTGGGGTGGGAAAGACAGGAGCCAGCCGCAGACCTCTTAGCCAGGGTGGAATGGGGAGGGGGGACCTCTGGGCAGCTGGGGCCTCATCTCTGCCAGGCGCTCACCTGTGTGTCTTGCTTCCAAACTGCTGCAAGAGCAGAACTCCTGCTTCCAGAGTGCAGGGAGGGCACCCTCTTAGGATAGCAGTCCTGCTGCTGTTGCTTTCCTTTCAGAAAAATCAAAGAGAGGCAGTGCTTTCAGCCTGAAAAAGGAGATGCTTTCTGGGGAACTATAAACAGAAAAAGGTTTGCATGAAGCTGAGCGTCTTAAGTCTACCTGGGCCCATTTTGGAACGGCAGAGTTTGTTCTGCCTGATGGGATGCTGAGGCCTCGGTGTTGTCTTTCCCACGCATGAAGGGTTCCCAAGCAGGTTGTGTCTCTTGTGTATGTGGCTGGAAAGGGGCCGGGCTGAGCTGCTCCCTGTTGTCTTGACAGGGGAGCCAAGGCGACAGCAAGAACGCAAAGAAGAAGAACAGCAAGAAGACCAACAAGAACAAGAGCAGCCTGAGCAGGGCCAACAAGAAGAAGCCCACCCTGCCCAACGTCTCCAACGACCTCTCCCAAAAGCTCTACGCCACCATGGAGAAGCACAAGGAGGTACAAGGGGCCCAGCTGGCCAGCTGTCTTCCCCTCTCTTGTGCCCTCTACCATGGCAGGAAGTCGCCTGGGAAGAGAGATCCAGGCCGGGCCCCACAGCCAAAAGCCCGTGGGGACCAGCCTCTCCTCCGAGTGGCTCTTTGGGGGCTCCTGTGGACCAGAGCAGCCCCCCTTGGAGTGGCCCCGGGTTCAGTCTGGGGCCCAGCAGTCTTTCACTTACTCAGCGCTTTTGTTTCTTTATTTGATCTGTAGCCCAATCTTCTCAAAGGTAGCTGGCAAAGTTAACTAAAAAGAAGCCGGTAGAGTTAGAATAAGAATTTAAAAGCTATTAAACAAAGTCTGTGATTAAAATACCGCTGAGGCAAAACAAGGTCCCCGGAAACAGACGTCGCTGTAGACAGGTCAGCCCAGTCCTTGCCCACCTGGAGGCTCTGCTCAACCACCGACGGAAGGGCTTTGCCCGGAGGAGGGCCCGCTCAGCTGAGGGGCCCCACCGCCCCTGGGCTCACCCGCCCCCTTTGCTTGTGTGCCTGCAGGTCTTCTTTGTCATCCACTTGCACGCCGGGCCGGTCGTCAACACCCTTCCCCCCATTGTGGACCCGGACCCCTTACTCAGCTGTGACCTGATGGACGGCCGGGACGCCTTCCTCACTCTCGCCAGGGACAAGCACTGGGAGTTCTCCTCCTTGCGCCGCTCCAAGTGGTCCACCCTCTGCATGCTGGTGGAGCTGCACACCCAGGGCCAGGACCGCTTTGTCTACACATGCAATGAGTGCAAGCACCATGTCGAGACGCGGTGGCACTGCACGGTCTGCGAGGTGAGTTCCTCCTCCTCCTCCTCCTCTGGGGTACGGTCTTCTCCAGGGCATCCTTGCGGGCGATCACGGAACAAAGGAAGGCAAACTGCCTTAGAGAGAGAGAACAAAGGAGTCGACGGCAAAGGTCCAAGCTATCCAACGGAGCCCACTGGCAACGCCCTGAGGGCTCTTTTACTGACTTAGCATGATTTACCTAGTATGTTATGAGAGAAACAGAGAGGATGCTAGTTACCTGATCGTAACTAGGATTGGCTAAAATAATCCTTTGATCTTATGCTCCACCTCTAAGCGAAAGGGCAGAATAAGGGGTTGCCCCGCCTGCTGGCAGCTCCCACATCCTGCCAGAGGTGTTTGCATGTCAGTGGAACAGAATGCAGCTACAAACTTTAAGCAGAAGTTTCCCACACATTATCAGATCAGGAGCTTCCAACTTTGGGTGGTGGATCTGCCAGCATTCTTCGCTAGGGTCTTCCCGGCCATTTCTGCCTTGTTTAGGAAGGTCAGAGCTTCTGGAAGCAACACGTGCACATGGCAGGACTGCTGGGTTTGGGACTAGACCCTTAGCTGGTCAAGGGTCCTTTGTGGACAGCAGGTAGACTGGAGGATGGGATGGAGGCTCTCCAGATACCCTGGACATATTTATCAGTTGTTCTATCAGAGGTCTTGTTCAGGTATTAAGCAAAGTCATTTGGTACTTGTGAGTCCTTCAGAGATGCCTGGGTGTAATTTGGGCCATTTCACAGACCAAACTGCCTGATGAATTGGAGGAGGAGTTGGTTCATGGTCCTTTGTTAAGTCCTGGGGAACTGAATACGGGTGGCTGGCACAAACATGGCTCCTGAGGTCACAGAGGAGGGGAAGGGGCTCTGGGGCTCCTCGATCCCCTGCTGAGATCTCGCCTCATCTTCTGGGGGCGGGG